CCCGGAGTCGGAGCCCTTCAAAATTAGCGACTTTTCTGCTGCGTTCTTCGCTACCGGGAACGTGGCGATCTCTCGCCGCCGACTCCTGGATGCTTCCGACGCTCTTCCAACCTCTACAAACAGCAGCTGTGGCCCTTTTGACACCTCTTTCAGTGAGTACGGATGGGAAGACCTAGAACTTGGCGAACGACTCCGGCAAAACGGCGCAAAGCTACGGGCTTGCCCTGAGGCTGTTGGTTACCATTGGCACCCCCCCTTCGATGTCTCTCAGCTTCCTTCACTTATCGAGCAAGAGAGGCAAAGAGGGAGGAATGGCGTACAATTCTATCGGAAACATCCCAACTTGAATGTCCGATTGATGATCCAGATGACCTTGTTCCATCAGGCCATCTGGTTTATACTCACCATAGGTGGGTTGATAAATGAAAGGACAACGGCACCCCTATTGCATTTTTTGGTCAATGTGGGGATGCCTCGTCTTGCAGCAGCGTTGGCAAGCCCAATTTTGAACTGGCACACTGTGCAAGCTGTGCGGCAAGAGGTCAGAAGAATAAAGCAAGCAGGGGGTAGGTTGTGAAGCACGATGGATGTTACGCTGTCGTCTCTCAGCCACTGTTTTGTCAGGAGTTCATAACAATAATATGGTTGGAGGTCCTTTCCAACTTCATGTCACACAGTCACAGTTCGCAAATCGTGTAGAAATTAATGCCTTTATTCTTCAGAATCTTTCGAGGTATGTTTACCGACCGTATCTGTCTTTATTGTATTGATGTATGGCATACGAAGGAAGTTGCTTGTTTTTCGTACTTTCTCGTTTTCGCTGGGATGTCCTTGCTTCTCCTTGTGGCTGGGATAATTGTCGGTCAAGCAGGTCAGGTAAGAAGTTAACCACTACTCACTGATAATGTAGTCGTTGGAAGAAAGGAATGAATCGCAAAAAAAAGACAAGAATGAAGGTGTGCAATGACACTTGACCATGGCCCCACAGATTCTGTCTTCTGGTAGTCGTTCGTGACACACTTTGCCGTTCATTACGGCTTCTGGTAGTTGTTCCCGAGGCACCTCGACAATGACTTATGTCTTCAGAATCCGGTTGTTTTTCCTCTCATAGCTTTTCTGTCCTTTCTATTCCTCCTTTCTTCTCTTTCTTTCTATTCCTCCTTTCTTCTCTTTCTTTCTGTTCCTCCCTTCTTTTCTTATTTTCTTCTCCTCCTCCCCTCTCCTCCTCCCCTCTCCTCTCCTCATCTCTTTGACTTCTTTTCTTGCACTTCCTTCTTCGACGACTTCTCAGTCATTTGATTGCCTGCGAGCCTGAGGCCTAGCAATTGAAGGTCTGTGTTTTTTTTTTCTTCCCCCCACTCATTTCTGGATTTAATGTGTGTCATCCTTGTGCAAGGGCCATTTTTGCAAGCCGCATTGTAAGGTATTTATTTAATTTTATTACTATTTTGATCACCTTTGTAAGGTATTTGACATTTGTTACAACTTTGATCACCTGCTTCTGTGAAACCTGTCTGACTTTGCGGCAATCCTTTTCCCCATATGTCAGTCTGTCAGTGACAATATGTCCATTGTCCACTCCTTGTGACTGATCCCGTCTAGCCCGCTTTTTTATTTTTGTATAAAGGCTAATTATTTTTAAGCCCAACAAATTCAATTACCCGTCGAAGCTGAACAGGACAGCCTTTCATGCCTTTTTTATTGTCATTATAGTATTATATTACAGGGAACCCCATAGCATCCACATCCTTGTTCAAGCCCCCAACGAGGGAAGATGTGGGAGTTGCAGCCACCAGCAGGTGCCATACCTGCTACAGCAGGTGGGTGACACCGGCCAGGGGTCAGCCGGTAGCATCAGGAGATAATTTGTTTGACGGGCCAGTTGCTGTGCGTCCCCTCCGGGCCCCTCCCCTTACCAACATCAGCAGTCTTTGCTTAATATGTCGCCCGGGGGTCCTATCTCTAGGTGGCAGCATAAAAGCTTGCCCAATAAGGTACATGAGGCCAATGGGGATTGAACCCAAGACCTCCTGAATGCCTTATCAACTGAGTTAGGCCGCTGGATCATCCAGGCCCTTTTAGGCATATAGCAAGGATTCAGTCACTATCAAAGGGATGCTGAACCAAATGCGGACCAGGGGTCCCAGTCCGTTGTCCAAGACTGACTGGTAGCTGGGGCCTTTCGCTAATTTCAGAGCTGAGTTTGAACTAGCAGTGAATTTTGTTATAAGAAAGTCACAACCATTTGAACTTGACTCATACCTAGGGTCTCCATTGACCGCCACCGCCGCCTAAAGTGCATGTTCCGGTGTGGCAAGCAGCTATACATAATTCCATGATTGCCATAGAAACAGTGATGGGGTACCTCAATCGTTTCAATCATAGACTCCCCGCACAATTGTCATCATGATACAAGGGGAATTAACTGCCATTTCGTCAAAATGGACATCTTTTATTTTTTCAACGAAATTGAAACTGAGTTTTTTGGCCGAAAACTCGTCAAAATTTGTTGTTCCTGAGGGTCCAGCGTTTTACAAACGCTGGATCCCCTAGCTGTACATGGACCTAGCTTGAGACCAGGTACCTCCAGGCAGGACTGCCTGGAGGTACCGGGTCTCAAGCTAGGTCCATGTACAGCCAGGGGGGCCAGCGTCCTGCCTGGAGGTACCGGGTCTCAAGCTAGGTCCATGTACAGCCAGGGGGGCCAGCGTTTGTAAAACGCTGGACCCTCAGGAACAACAAAAGACGAGTTTTTGGCCAGAAAACTCAGTTTCAATTTCGTTCAAAAAATAAAAAATGTCAATTTTGACGAAATCGTCGTTAATTGAAAGGAGACAGAGGAAGAAGCAGCACAAGTAATGTGGAAAGAAGGAAAATGAGAAAAAAGGTGGTGACCGATTGTTTAGTTGGACTGTCACTGACTCGTGAGGTGGCTGAACCCCCAACAGTCTGCAGAATCCCGGTGCTGACACTTTGAGTCGTAATCCACTTCAACCCCTGATGAGAATGGGTAGTCAGACAGATGACAGCACAAGCAGCAAGGCGAAGCAGGCAGCAGTAAATCAAAGGGTCGACGCAAAGGCAAATGACAAAGCAAGAAAAGTAATGGCCGGTGTAGGGCCCCACACTGACAGATATTCGAGCCTGATTAAACCCTTCAGCGGGTCACAGTTGGTTCGGCTCCACCCATGCTCATGCTAAGGGCGCGGAGCCATTCGTCACAGGGTCACCCGCACCTAGTGCTTTGAGATGGATGGGGGTGGGCCAATTAGCGAAAGAGCGTTGACATTAGGGATGTAGCTCAACTCTCGTGCTAGGTGGGTAATCTCGTTGATCCTTCGCATGCTTCATTGTGTTCTCAGACAATTGCTCCTTTCAATACTCATGCAGTACATGGATTCTTGGAAGATTCATCTTCCTTCATGCGCAGGCGAAGGGTCCTCTTTGGGCCACACGTCCATTCACTAATTGCAAGGACTAACGGCTTCATCGCGGTAGAGGGACGCGCCTCGGCTTAGGCCTGTGGACTAACTCGCGTTGACACCTATCGCCTCACTAGGACGCCCTCAGCTTCATCCTCTAGCCGATCTATGTGTTGGCTTTCTCTATCTCATGCATCATACATCATGTCTTGTTGCTTTCATATACACCCCTTAGTCTTTTCGGGGCCCCGCCCACACTTTCATGTGACTTGGTGGCCCCCTCGGCCACTTGTTGCTTTCGCAGACTTTCAACCATTCAGACCACATTTCTTTTCACAAACGGGAGAATATGCTCAATAGACTCATTCATCGGGGAGGGTGAMATTCACAATCCATTTAGCTGCTGTCCCTTTTCCCCGCCCGGCCTCCCTGGGCTCTACCCAGCTCAAGGTATCCTAAGGTTACTTACCTGCACACTCAATGCAATATACACAAGCATAACCCCCATTCGGGGCCAACACATAATCTCTCCCACGCGCTTATTTTTTTTGTCCCCTAGTTACTTCCTTCTCCATTCCTTTGTCTAAATCATCATCTTCTCTTTCTCATGCAGTCCGGGTGTTGGTCGAGTCCATTAACCTTTCTTTCACTCCACGAGTCTTTTCAAGCCTCAGAACTTGCCAATCCTCAAGTTTTTGTGAATCCTCAAGTCTTTTGAGCTCACAGGCCTTCCCAATCCTCAAACATTTTTCCTTCTTAGTGGCGGAAGGGACCGGCAACCCTCCCCTTGCCCTCTCTTTCCACCAAGTGAGGCCAAAGGTCTTTCACCGTTCATCCCCTGACAATGTGACAAGTGAGTGGAGAAGGGTTAGTCACATGCCAAAAGGAAAAGGGAGAAGAGGGTTAAGATTAGACTTAGAGTATGGGAGGGATAGATGAGGGGGAGTCGACAAATATATATATATATATACATATATATATATAGGTGAAACTCCGACGAAACAGTTTGTCACAGCCCCTCGTTTGTTGTCCTCTTCTCCCTCTCTGCCTATGGTTTACCGGGCAGTTCTATTTGACGA